AGCAAATTTTTTGGCTCACATGACTAAAAGAAACCCAGGAGGGAGAGTCAGCTTCGGGTAGTGCTGAGTCCAAAGACACACATTTTATCCTCAGGGCTGGAACACTCTCTCTCTCAGCTCCATTTTGCTCTGTGTTGGCTTCACACCCAAGCCCCAGGTGATACACACAGCTCTCGGATAAAACACAGTGCTTTCTGCCAGCAGCCCCAACAGAGAGAGAAGTTCTCCTTTGCAAACTTCCGAGAGGCGTCCTGGACGGGCATGTCTCATTGGGTTGACGTGGGGCCTGTGCCCCCTCCTGAACAAAACCTGAGAGATAAGGTAAGCTGGTTGGCTAGACCTAGCGCTGGAGGTGGGGTCGACCCCACTCAATGTGGGGACTGAGAAAGGGGGATGAAAGTCTTGCTGAAGGAGATCCATAGATGCCTCCAGGATAAGAAGGAAGGGCTGCTGGGGGGCGGGGGGAAAGGAGAAAACATGTGACCGCTACACCCTTGCTTTTGGCAAAGCAAATCTATACAACCTGTGCATTTAGTGGGACACTGTAAGTCTCATCTGATATTGCCTTTTCCTAACTGGCCTAGAAGTGATACTTCTGGCAACAAAAGGAGCTGTTGGGTCACTTCCTTTTAAGGTTCCTTCCTAACCCACGGCCACATTCTCCGACAGTTGCCCATTCATCCAGAGTTGTGGACCTTGACTGCCATCTCTGTTCTCTGCGTCCCTACCCTCATGGTGCTAGCTGTTGGGACTAGGGGTGAGGACACCTGACCCAGAGAAGCTAGCTCATTGGCAGGCCAGCGGCCAATCAATTTTTTCCTAGGGATCCACCAAGACTGAGAGGGAGGTTGGGAACTCAAGGATGCCCACAAAATCCTCCTTCCGAGGGATCCAGAACTGTCCTGGTCCCCGTTCTCCTGAAGCCTGATCTGTGTTTCCCTAGATTCTGTAAAAGACTGCCATCTGTGTCCATCTAATAACTTCATGGCTTTGCTCACACTAACGCGAATCTGTTTCTGTTACTCGAAACCGTACGACTTTACCAAGACTAATTCCAGTCCCAGGATTAGGGGGAGCTGATGTGGAATGCAAGGATTGCAAGGATTTTAGTGTCCTTGGCCCCTGGCGGTTGCCTTTCCCAGGCTCTGAGCTTTTCTATCGGTGGCTTCCCGCTGAGGCTGTCACTAGTCTCGATAGGGCCGAAATGCTTGGGTCTTTCAGGGCTTCTGTTTGCGTGAAGTTGTATCCATCATCAATTTCGACAGCGATGCCGCATGACCAGTGTACCTGGGGTCACCTGGGAGGCTGGCTAAGCAATTCTGTTTGTCTTCACTGAGCTCGATGCATAGAAGAAACAGATAGGAGGGATCACAGGGGTAGGAAGCATTGGAAAGATGGGATACCTTGCGATTTTAAGCAGGGTGGACTTGAAGGAGGATAGAGGATGAGCCACGTGACTATCTGAGTGTGCGTGTGTGCGCACACGTGTGCGCATGTGCGTGTGCGGAGAGAGTGGTTCGGGTAGAGCAGATACCCGTCACAAGCCCTGAGGTAGGAGTGTGCCCATCACATCCGAGTGACGACATGGAGGCCGATGAGAAAGAAGCAGAATGGGTCAGACGTAGGGCGGCAGGAGGCGAGGGGAGGGTGACAGCAGGGGCCAGGTCGCGGAGGGCCTTGTCGGTGGCCGTGAGGGCTCTGGCTTTTACTCTGAATGAACTGAGAAGTCATTGAGCAGGTTTCAAGAGAGGAGCGACATGCTCTGGCTTTAACTAAAGGGAACGCTTTGGCTTGTGTATTGCCCACCCGCTGTACAGGGCAGACTCGTCAGGAAGGAGGCTATGGCAGTGGCCCAGGGGACAGACAGATGGTGATGGCCTGGGGCACCGTGGTGACCCCAGGGGTGGTGAGAGGTGGGTTGTAGAGAAGGTGGGATGAAAGTCTCGCCCAAGGAAATTCCTGTTACGAATGTGGGCACGGAAGCTTCCAGAGAGAAAGTCAGCTCCTCTGGTCTGATAGTGACAGAGTGGCTGAGACGCCACCACGGCACCCAGCACGGTTCCTGCACAGAGGCATCGCGGAGAAACGGAAGCCGGAACCAAATCCGCAGAAGAAGCCAATTGCGACAGAGGATGTGCTCGGCGAGCCATTTATATGAAGTCTGACGTTTAAGAGCCAGGAAAACCAGTCTATTGTGACATTAATCTGAACGTGGTCGCATGTGTGAGAATCGAGTTGACAGGGGCTGGGGGAACCTTCTAGGGGCAGTGTTCTATATGTTGATTAGGGTGATGGCTGCATGAGCGTATGCATTTACCAAAACTCGTCGAACTGTACCCTTAAGATCTGTGCATTTCACTGTATATACATTTTAACTTGAGCTTTAGAAAGAAATCAATGCAGCCTAAATTTACTCTATTCAATAGTGACATAGATCTGAATCCACATCTTTTCCATGACCTCAACGAGCTCACCATCTTTTAAAAACATTCTTATTTTTATGGCACAGGTGATTTTATATATATATATATAAAACAATATGTAAAATAATAGGATATGTATCAATAAGAGGATATGTAAAATAATAGGATATGTAAAAATCACTAGTAAACCTACCTCAAGAAATAACTTCTTTTAAAAAACATTTTGATACATATCCTATTATTTTACATATTGTTTTTGTAGCCTGTTTAACTGTTTATTTTATTCTGCTGATTGAACTGGGTAAGTATATTGACAGAGAAGAAAATCTAACTAGTAGGAATTTATCCCAAGGAAATAATTAGAGATGCGTATGAAGATATTATACAGAGAATGATTTACATTAGGCAAAATTGGAGGCAACCTTAAAATATATCGACAGATTGATTCAATAATTAGTGAAATGCTCAGGTAAATGTAAATATTGACAGAAAAAGGTATATATATGTATATCATGAAATGAAAAAGAATATTACAATGAGAATATAACTAACTGTGCAGTGTATTATCATTAAAACAAACTTAAAGAACTATGTGTATTTCATAATTCCATTACCCATATAAATGTATATGAAATAATAACCTAACTGTTAACCAGGCTCATTTAGCTGCGGATTTTGAAAAGAGTTCCGTTTTCTTTTTATCATTCAAATTCTTTACAATCTGCACGCATTCTTAGAATGAACGTGTTGTTAGAAAAAAACGGTGGAAATTTTTAAGAGGCTTTTTCTTTCACTCGCCCTCCCAAAATGCAGAGCCAGTTTCCAGTCGCCTGGGCAAGTGGCCCTGTTATTTAAAGGGTGGCCCGTGGAGCAGCGACCGACGCTTCTCCGGGAGGTGAGAGCCACGGCTTCCGAAGCCGCGCGCCCACTGGATTGGGATGCGCGTTCTCACGGGTCCCCAGGTGACAGCACGCACAGCAAGGTCTGAGAAACTCCTCCCCGCGCCCGCTTCTTCTCTCCTCAGAGGGACCCTGCCCGAGGTATGGCTACAGTCCCTCCGGCTACCATCTTCTACGCTCCTGTCCTGTAGGTATCTGCCGAGTCCCTATAAAAAGGTGGCTGACCAGATGGGAGGGTGAGCGGCCCGGCTCATCGGGGCCCCTGTTGCCCGCAGCCGGACGCAGGTGGCCCCGAGGCGGCTTCGCGCTGCG